TCCCAGTTAGTGACAATCCAGGAGTCTGTGACAGATGACACCACCGCCACTGTTATTCACCTATTTCTAGGGAAGCAGCAAATAGTGTACTAGGGAAAGCTAAAGGAATTATTGGTTTATAAAAATTAGGGAATTTTGATTCACTAAGCCTAATATCAGATCTACCCCACCTCAGGGCGATACCATATGTGCTGGAAAAAACACACACAATATCAGTCAGTCAATCAATTGAAAGCCCGGGAGCTGAACCAATGCAGGTGCCAAAATCACTGACACTCAGGAGCACTGGTTCACCACCGCTCCACGACTGGGGAAGCCACGTTGTTTCTGCCCAGTCAACCCAGAGGACAGATTCTGAGGGGACCTGAACCACTGCAAAGTCAGGGATGGGGAGCAAAGAAGAGAGCCAGAGAGAAACTCCCGAGTCCAGCGGCCACAGGCATCATTAGGGAGCTGAAACGGAGCAACCCAGCCACACGGGGCTGCTGCCCCACAGTTCCGTGGCTTTGTTTTGTCTTTTTGACTTTTTGAGACAGGGTCTCAGTGCAAATCCGGCTGGCCTTGAACTGGCAGTGATCCTCCTGCCTCTACCTCCAGAGTGCTGGGATTCTCCTGGCTCAGCCTTCAGTGTGCTGGGATGACAGGCGTGCACCACTACGCCTGGCTAAGAGCTATGTTGTTTTTTGAGTCCAAACTGACTGTTGAAAACAATCAGTATTCTTTGTGAGATTGCGACAGAGTTCATAGTTCCCACAGATAATAATCATGGTGTCCAGGATGAATCTAACTGGACTCAGAAAGAACCAGGAAAAGCAAACCCAGTCTCCATCAGGAGGACAAGCAAAGGAGACAGGTGCCGCCCAGCTGGGACTGTCCCCAGAGCTCCAGGGAGCCCCTGGGCCTGGGCTGTGCCCCTGAGGGGTGCAGGTCATCCACGCCCCTGGAACGCCACCTGGCGGCTGTCTCGTCGCAGGCTGTAGGCACATGGCCAGCTTGGGCTTCCCTGTGAGGCCCCAGCGCCCGGCCTGAAGCCTGACGGCCCCTCAGCACTGTCACCTCGGTCGGTGACCTCAGACTGTGGATTCTGAAGGGACGTCACACACCACGGCAACAAGCGATGAGCAAAAGCAGTGACCTCAGAGATACGTGCAATGAAGGATCAAGGGACTCAGGGACCAGAGGAAGCACGTGGTTTAAGAAGCAGAAGCTTCCCAAAGCTTACGTGGCATCAGGAAATTCTGAGGGCAAAAGGGACAGGATTTTATAGGGAAAAAGCAATCCTAAGAATAAGAAAGAAACACTGGAAATGTACAGTATGATTCCCAAATGATGGTGCTGTGGAAGACATATGGAAGCCAGGAAAGGTCCCGTCCTAAGAGGATGAGAGGGGGAGACAGAGAGACAGAGGGAGAGACAGAGAGAGAGACCGAGAGAGGAGGAGAGAGAGACACACAGGGACAGAGGGAGAGAGAGACAGAGAGACAGAGGGAGAGACAGAGAGAGAGGGAGACAGACAGAGACAGAGAGATAGAGACAGACAGAGGGAGAGAGACAGAGAGAGGAGGAGAGAGAGACAGACAGAGGGACAGAGGGAGAGAGAGACAGAGAGACAGAGGGAGAGACAGAGAGATAGAGACAGACAGAGGGAGAGAGACAGAGAGAGGAGGAGAGAGAGACAGAGGGACAGAGGGAGAGAGACAAGAGAGACAGAGACAGACAGAGAGACAGGGAGAGAGAGACAGAGAGACAGAGGGAGAGACAGAGAGAGAGGGAGACAGACAGAGACAGACAGAGAGACAGAGAGACAGAGAGATAGAGACAGAGACAGAGGGAGAGAGACAGAGAGATAGAGAGACAGGGAGAGAGAGACAGAGAGACACAGAGAGACAGAAGGAGAGACAGAGAGAGAAGAGACACAGAGACAGACAGAGAGACAGAGAAATAGAGAGAGACAGACAGAGGGAGAGACAGAAAGAGAGACAGAGAGATAGAGAGATAGAGAGAGACAAAGAGAGAGAGATAGAGAGAGGGAGAGACAGAGAAGGAGAGAGAGACAGAGGGAGAGAGACAGAGAGAGGGAGAGAGAGATGGAGAGAGACAGACAGATAGAGAGAGAGAGGGAGACAGAGACAGAGACATAGAGAGGGAGAGAGAGAGACAAAGAGACGGAGACTGAGAGGGAGGATGCAGAGAATCAGTTTAGAAGCCTAATACATGAGCCATCATAGAAAAAATTGGAGAGGAAGTGGACCAATAAATGGTCATCAAACCTTCTGGGGGGCAACACCTGGCTTTCCAGTCTGTGGAGCCCGCACAGAGTACAGTGAAGTCAAGCTCCCACTCCCAGGTCCACCCGCAGGACAGCTCAGAGCAGTGCAGGTGACAAAGTCAACCTGCAAAGGCTGAGGACATCTCATGGCATCCTTCAGTCCCAGAGGACGGAGAAGGACACCTGCAAGGGTCCCAGAAAACACCATTTTGGAAACCTCATTCTCCTTAACCACAGCAGCAGCCAAGCGCCTGGGAAACACAGGCTCCCTGCCATCCGCACGGCGCTGCCTGGGGTGAGGTTGGAAATGCCCCCCAAAGCCTGGTGTACCAGAGGGGGACTTTGAGGATGCCGTGCTCCCTCCCGGTGGCAAGCACAGCTGCAGGGAGCTAAGTGTGCTGCTGGGAGATGGGGTCTGGGTGGAGGCCTCTCCCTTGCCACTGTCCTCCAGGCCCTGCCTCGGTGCTGTGGCCCACAGATGACACTGTGAGCCGAAATAAACCGCTCTCCGTGAAGTCCTGGGTGTCGGGTGTGCTGTCCCAGGACAGGAACCTGATTGAGAGACACCCTTTCTAGGAAAATTGCTTGAAATTTCAAAATCGAGAAGCATGCAAGATGTGGGGTCCTAGAACCTGGGACAGAGTGCCAGGGGCGGAGTGACCCAGGTGACCACGGTCGGGCAGGCGGGGAGCAAGGCTGGGTCAAGTCCGGGCCTAAGGCCAGTTCTTCCAGCTCCACAGGAGAGTGAGGGAGAAACGCATCCTGCTCACAAGCAGTGTGCAAGTTGCACACTTCTTTCAGGGAAGCAGCATTTAAGGTTAGGGGCACGGATCAGACCACCAGGCTCTTTTGCGTTCTTTCCTGTTTTATTGATCTCAGGCATGTTGTCTGTGTTCTCTTGTTGCTTTTTTCCCATGTCATATAATTACAACAATACTTATTCATTTGGGGTGGGTTTTTTTTTTTTTTTTTTGATCATTTTGACACAAGGTCTCACTGCAGTTCAGGCTACCCGTGAGCTCACTTTGTAGCCCAGACTCATAGTCTCGAGCTCATAGCGATCCTCCTGCCTCAGCCTCCTGAGTGCTGAGATTACAGGCGTACACCACCAGGCCTGGCTTTCATTTGGTCATTGAGAGTCCACTGTTTAAACAGTAACTGACCCCCAATAGCACCACGTAGCTGCTTCCTATTAGGGTCATGATGCTCTACGAGAAAAACTAACAAGAAATTCTAGAAGAGATACCCTGAAAGTGTACAAGACAGGCATGGTCTACGTACAGCGGAAACCAAAACATGGCATGACTTTTGTTAACCGATGGAGAATGAGCAAAGAGAACCTATTATTTTTACATTGTGCCCATTAAGAAGAAAGGGAACCCTAAAGCATTCCTTCTTTCCACTCTGAATGATCAGTTATAAATGCTGAGTAGCCCTTTGAATTTCAGAATTAATGTGCAAACAATGCACGTGTTCCGTAGAGGTGTGGAGATTCCTGAGAGTCCCCTCTCTGTACAATTGCTTATGAAAGACGAGAGAAAACGAGGTGTGTCGTCTGAAGCCGCAAAGCTAAAAACAGAAGCAGCGAAAAAGGTAACGGTAAAATGCCTGAGGGAAACCGAAAACAGGAAAACACAACACGGTGAAAGCCGCCACCTCCAACTCTTTTCCTCCACTATTCAGTAGCTAAAGTTTAAAGCTGACAAGTTTTTAAAAGTCAGTAGAGACTGATTCTTTACAGAGAAGGAGACAATTATAAAGGGAAACAAAGCCGGTGACATTAAAAGGCCGATGGGAAGGACCAGCGGATGGAGGGGCTGTGGGTTCTCAGCAGCCTTTCAGAACCTCTGACCTGCAAGCAGCACAAGGTCTGAAGTTGCTTACCAAAGCATCACATGTTTACTTAAGGTGATAGCAAATTTATCGTGATCAGCAAACTGTTTTATCTTTCCTGGGAAATTTTTATACAACGTGAATCTTAGGCATGTAAATGATAAAATTTATGCTCTGGAGAATGACTCCTATTAGTATTTTATAAGCATATAAAAAGCAAGACTATGCAATCCAAATAGAACCGTAACTAATTCCAGCTACAAAATATGTATATTTTCATAGTTCTCCATATTAGCAGTGGAGTTGGTAATAAATAGGTTAATACCCAGAAGATTCTACGTGTCTCTGCCTCCCTGATCCTCTGGGTCACTTTGTCTCTCTAGTTCCCTAGATGTAGCCCGCCTAATCAGGCCCCAGGGTGTGCCCAGTGGCCAACCCTGCCATGCTCAAAAATGGTCTTAGCTACACTTTAACATATGTGCACATTTTTGTATTATAAATCTAAATAAACAAATAAATATTTAAATTTTATCTTTTTTTTTCAGTCTTTTTGAGACAAGGTCTCACTCTGCAGTTCAGCCTGGCTGTGAAACTTACTTTGTAGCCCAGACTGGTCTTGAACTCATAGAGATCCTCCTGTCTCAGCCTCCCAGTGCTGGGATTACAGACCTATGTCACCACGCCCAGCTTTTAGATTTATATCTTAAGAAAAATGTATATGATCTTCTCTGTTCTCCCCATAAAGTTTTACATGCTATTAGAGATCAAATCACTTGACACAATTATGTTTTTGATTCTAAAATTCATTTCAATGTGGGATTCATTGACACATACATAAAGCTATCAGGATTGCTAGGAATTTTTAGTAAGTAATTATAAGCACACAGATTACACTTACCTCACTTGTGTCCTTAAGATAAAGAAAGGGTCTCCTAGATCTTGATTTTAGATTTTCTTCTACTTCTGGTGCTAAAGAAATCCAAACAAAGTGGTGTTTTAATAGTCATAAATGATTTCTAATTAAATCCACCAAGTCATTGTTCTCTAACTGTAGTAAACTTTTGGGAACAGTTTAATAATCTTATTTGCTTATATATGCAGTGCAATGTGCTTGCAGTTTTGAAGCTAAATTTACTGTAAAAAGATTTCCTTTGAGAATAAACTTTTGGTAACATAATATTTAAAGTACTTAGTATTATATAATAAAGCTTTCCATTTTTGGAAAAATGGAATTAAATGGAATCATTCTTGCTATTAAAAGAATCTTTTGAGCTAGGGATGCAGCTCAGTGGCACAGCACCTGCCTGGCAACACAAGGTCCTGAGTTCAATTCCTGATGCTAAAAATAAATAAATAAACAATCTTTTGGTGAATACCTTTGAGAAAAGTATTTTCTCCACCTGCATTTTCCCAGCTCCAATTATGAATCTGATTAGCCCAGTGGACATTTCATGCCTTCTTTTATAGTATAGACAGGATAGGAGTCAAGACTTCGGTGTGGCTGACTTGGCTCTAACTCATGCCCATTTGGCGAGTTACGCAGCCTTAAGAAGGTACTTTAGCTCCCTGAGGCTTATTTTCTTCATCTGTCAACTGGAAATAGTGTTAATCATCTTCCCAAAGTATCTCGAGGGTAAAATGAAACGGTAGATGTAACACACACTGTGGGATCTGGTATTCACTCAAATTACAGTCGCTGATTGATCCACTACTCCGTGCCTGGCGCGGCTGCCAGACCCTGGGATTGTGATTCCTGCCCAATGAGGTGCCTGCCTTAGAAGGGGAGGGGGACAGGCTACACCCAGTGGAGCGTGCAGAGGAGGAGGTGCTGAGACTGAGCCCCACAGCCCTGCTGAGCAGAAGGGTGCGGGGTGCAGTGCAAGCACAGAGCACAGGCCAGGGCGCAGGGCTGAGGCTGCCAGACCCCTAGGGGCCTCCAGCAGGAGAGGAGCTACCAACCATCAAGGTCTCGCCATGATTTTAGAACAGAGAGTGGGTGCACAGCAGGTCCACTGCCATGTGGGAGGCAGCAGCCATCGGCCCCAGTCTCCCTGCTGAACGCGACTGAAAAATCTGGATGAAATATTTTTTTCAAGCAAAAAAAGTGGCAAAAAGCTAAAAGAGGGCCGGGAATATAGCCTAGCAGCACATACACCTGCCTGGTACACACAAGGTCCTGTGTTAGATTCCGAGTACAAAAAAAAAAAAAAAAAAGCCAAACACCTGGGTATGATGATGACACACACCTGTCATCCCTGCACTGGAGAGAGGCTGAGGCAGGAGGATCTCTGCAAGTTGGAGGCCAGCCTGGGCCATATAGTGAGTTCAAGACCTTCCTGCACTACAAAGCTAGATAGTGTTCAAAAGAGTTAAAAGAACATCAGACGCCTCTGTACCCTAATTCGAGGAGAGGGTAAGAGCTGAAATTCGTAGGCCCAAGCCTGCAAAGCCCCTTCCGTGCAGAAGAATTTCACGCATTTGAAATAAGCAAACTCACCCTGATTGTAGAAGCCTCAGGAGTGGAGACGCACAAAAGTCCAAAGTTGCCCAAAGCTCCCCGAAGGCCCACGGGTGGGTTATTTAATATTCTCTTCCCCTCCAGCCTCCAGGAAAAAAACCCCACATGCAATCACCATACTGGAACCCTGAAGAGTTACAGCCTTAATGTAGGAAAAACCAGGATCAGCGTGCTCTGAGCTGGTGCTGCTGTGCCCTGAGTGTTCCAGGGACAGTGATAGCGGGAAAGTGGGGTAAGATATGTTCTGACAAGTATCACCCCCTCCTGTGACCTGGCAGAAATAGTAAAAATCTCCAGAGTTAAGGTCCTATCGACCAAGTCCTTGAACTGGTCCTGTGTACAACTTCCCAAATTGTATCTGGCACACACACAATGGTAACAAGGCACGTATAAAACATAGGTTAGAGAAGTGGTAGCCCACGTCTCTAATCCCAACACTGCACTCTGGAGGCTGAGGCAGGAGGGTCCCTGCGAGTTCGAGGCCAGCCTGGGTTACATAATGAGTGCAAGGCCAGCCCGGACTACATAGCGAGACCCTGTCTCAGAAAGACCAAAAGAGAAATGAAGAAGTGAAACACCAGAAATAACAGGAAGTCCAGAGCCACAAGGGTTCTATTGTTAGGCACAGAGCACCACTACGTAGGGCGGCTGCGTTTTCAAAAGGAAGAGAGGGTACACAATGTCTCAAAGGAATTTTAACATAAAAGGGAAAAGGCAGACTTGAAAGGGGCGCATTCCTAAGCCTTTCTTCTGATGTATTTTTAACTTGTGTGTGTTTTTCACTTGAATAGATTCGGTGCACTAAAAGAGAAAGACAGAAATATAGAAAATAGACCAGAGGAATTAGGAATTGGTCAGAAATAGATAAAAAGAGAGCAAAGCAGGGGTGGATGGGGGACCCAGAGCCCCACTGAGCTCCGAGGTCTGTCTCCCCACTCCCGGGAGGGGGTAAGATCCCTACAGAGATGAATTTTGGATAAACATGGCCAACCGGGCTCCAGAACCCATGAACCATCCCTGAGAGGTACAGTTTTACAAATGAGCCTTACGGTTTGGCATGATTTTCAATGGATCTCAAGCAAAATAAATACAAATCAGTTGTATCCTATGCATATCATAGGCAAGATTCGTAAGATGAGAAAAAAGAAAAGCTTACAGGGATTGCATTTAAAAAGTGGCTATGTGATGATAACGGAAGGCAGTGGGCAGCGGGAAATAACTTCCACTTGGGTACTTTTTTTTGATCATTTTGAGACAGGGTCTTGCTGTGCAGTTCAGGCTGGCCTTGAGCTCACTTTGTAGCCCAGGCTGGTCTCCAACTTGCAATGAGCCTCCTGCCTCAGCCTCCAGAGTGCTGGGATCACAGCTGTGTGCCACCACGCCCTCTTACCCAGGTACATTTTAGTGAATAGAATATTCTTCCAGAATTAAAGTAAAATAAAGACTTTTTGGGCAAATAAAAATTCAGAGTGCTCAAACTGAAAGAGTAACAAGACCCGAAATGTATAATAGACATTGTGGTAAAGGGAAAGAAAGTGCTAGAAAGGAAAGAACTGGGATGGGGAAAGGACAGAAGGAAGAGGAGGAAAGATTATGTGTATATAGGTGTACATACGTGTGTGCGTGTGTGTGTGTGTGTGTGTGTGTGTGTGTGTGTAATGGTTTATGTCTGTGCCCCAGGCCTCATGAGTTTGCACTGTGTATTGTGATTGGTTCATTGTCTAGTGCTTGGATTGATGGTGTCAGTGCTCCACCCACAAAGGGGTGGAGCCAGGATGTGATGTAATGGCGGGAAGAAGGTGTGTCTTGCTCTTTGCTGGTTCCTGTTTGCTGTTGGCGGCTGCCATGAACTGTGGCCCAGCCATGCCGCCTGCCTTGGAGTCAACTGAGTGTGGACTGAAACCTCCAAAAACTGTAAGAAATAAACCTTTCCTTTCCCAACTTGGGCTTTAGGTATTTTGTCTCAGCGACGAGCAAAAAGTAACTAAGACAGTGTGTGTGTGTACAAGCTAGAGAACTACACTACTAATCTCTGTAAGTTCATCAAAAAGAGCAGTTTGCACTCTCACTGTTGGATTCCTTGACCATATGTTATGCCTAAATCTTTTGAATAACTACCTCTAAGATAACAATATGCAACATATTACCTAGCATTCATTTCCCACTTTAAAAAAATTCTGTATGGTTTCTTTCTTTTTTCCTGTTTTGCTTTTTAAAAATAGGAAAAGTTTTAAACATTCGGAGTGCTGGTCGTAAGAGGATGTGTACTGAAGGAAATTCTAAAGGAGCTGTTCAAGGCTAAAAAGCACGCCAGGTATAGACTAAGGAGGGAAAATTTCACCGAACATGGACTTCGTGGCAGTCCTAATACTAGCACTTATTTAAAATGCACAGTATTAAACATTAGACCGGCCCACAGGCATTCATGTCCAGCTAATAGCCGCACTTGGTGCTGAACGGAAAGCCGCCCAGAGGCCACCAGAGGGCTGGGAAGGGCACGGAGAGTTTGAGGCAGGGCGACCCTACTGCGGGGGGCCTCCAGACCCATGCATGCACCCAACTGTGAACCCCGGCTTTGGGGTGGTGGTGATGCATCGTGGGGGGTCTCATGATACAGCAGATGCACTTCTGGTGTGGGGTAAGGACCCTGGGGGGGGGAGCTTGAGTGTGTGAGGGAGGAGGGAGGAGGGAAAAGGGAGGAGGGGGAGGGAGGAACTCCCTGCCTTCCTGTCAATTTTAGTGTGAACTGCTCTGAACTACCAGGTCCACTTAACGGGCATGCATCTGTCAGCCCAGCACCCCAGGAGGCTGAGGCAGGAGGATCATGATTCTAGGTCACCCCGTGCAACTCAGTGACTTAGCAAGTTATAAGTATAAGAAGAGGTGGAGGCTGAGCCCAGTGTGGAGGCTGCGGGCACACTGTCCGGTACTGCAGTCAATCAATGAATCAGTCCCAGTGACAGGTCCATTTAAAAAAAATCAAATGGAAAATAAAGACCACACCAACATCATCATCTCTATCATTGTGAAACTATAAAGATTTACAAAAGTTTTTAAACATTGCATTTTAAAATACCAATAATGTCTCTGTGTTTGAAGTATTAAAATGACCAACGGAAACGGCAGACAGTAAATGTCAGACTACAGTAAAACAATTAAAGATTCTATAATTCTTTAAATTTCCAGGAGGAGGGCAATATTAAATTTGGAAGGCTGCATATCATAGTCTCCAGGGTTATCACGTAAAGAATAGAAACAAAGCACTTAGCTTACAAACTGGCAAAGGGGGAAAGTGAGATTGAAAAGTGGATCCTGAAGAAAACACGAAAGGATAGAAAAAGAAGCAATAAACAGGGTGGAAAAAATAAGATGGCAGATTTAAATCTAAAGGTATCGGTAATTATATTAAATGTAAGTAGATTACATGTTCCATTCCAAAGAAGAGAAATAAGTCTGAAACTTTTTGGTAAATGATAATGCTGGCAGCAGAAAACTCAGGAATGATACAGAAATGATACAGAAAAACAGCAAAATATTTGACCTAAAAGCCATGCATAGCCAGCCCTAAAATCCCAGCTAACCAGGCGGTTGAGGCAGGGAGATTGCAAATTTGAAGTTAACCTCAACAACTTAGTGAGACCTTGTCTCAAAATAAAATTTAAAAAAGACAGAGACGCATTTACAGTTGACTGTGTATCGGATGGTAGCACAAACGCTAACTTATTTATAGGACTGGAATTGTTGCCAGGGTCGAGTTCCATAGTGACAAGGAATGAAACCGTGGACAGAGGAGGCGGGGCACAAGCAAACTTACTGAAAAGATATAAAGGCAAGAAAGCAAAAGAGATGAAGGCCAGGAAGTGAATCTGTCACTGGCGAGGGTGGGGTCCGAGTGGGAGTCCCAGGAGGGCGAGGAGGGAGCTCACTCAGTTGCCTAAGAAATACCATCTCTGTCTACGGGCTTCAAGTTTGGGTCTGATCTATGCAGCACTCATGCAGGGCCCTCACACTAGTGGGCTGTCTGATCCCTGCAGGGCAGGTCCAGGCAGCCACAGGACACCTGCACATGTCTGTGCAGGGTCCCTGGAGGGTCCCCCTCAGCGGCCCCACTTTGAGCTTCCTGATTCCGTTTTGGGGCGGCCCAATAAAACCTGTCCTCCAGTCCTGTTACAAAGTCGCAGGGCAACTGCCTTCCAGACTCAGTGTCACTGAACTAGAAGGCAATGGCAGAAAGATGCATAGAAAACCCCTGCAGCATCGCAAGGACAGAAAGGCTGAACCCCCACCCCACACACAAAACAGAGGAACAGTGTCTCCCACAATGTGAGGGAAATATTCAGAGCTGCAGAGGAGAAGCACATACAAGTGAATCCATAAAGCCTGATTGCATAAAGTTCTTTTTGGAGAGAGCTACACAAAGAAAGGCCAGAAGCCAGCAGAGCTGACCCTAAGGCATGAAGCATGGGAAAGGCTGGAAAGGGACCTGGACAGGTGTGAGGCCGCCGCCTTTGTTCCGTGACCTGCGCCCTCTGCGCAGGGTGGGGTTTTATTACGGTCACTATACTGTACATTTCTATGCTTCTGGGTTAGGGGTTGTAGCTCAGTGGGAGGGCACTTGCCTGGCATGCATGAGTTCCTGGGTTCATGCTCAGTGCCACACACATACACGTGTGCACAAACATGGCATGTGTCCCAAGAGCTCACAATTCTCTGGAGCTCAAAGCTGATGGTTCTGAAAATAAAATAGGAGGCATTTACATGTCTCATGCACTTTTCTCTGTGTATATTCTTAATTTAAAATGGTTTAACCAGGGCTGAGCATGGTGGCACATGCTGTAATCCCAGCACTTGGGAGGCTGAGGCAGGAGGATCGTTGTGAGTTTCAGACCAGCCTGGGCTGCAAAGTGAGCTCGAGGCCAGTGAACTGCATAGCGACACCCTGTCTCAAAAACCCAAAAGCAAACAAACAAACAAAATGGTTTAACTAGAAAGAAGGCCTCGGACTGGGGAGAGGGTAAGAATGAAAGAAGAAAACCTGTTGTCCACTAAACAGAAGTTGGTGATGATGTGGGTTAGGGTGGTGAGTGTAAAAATGATGACAAGAGGTTAATTCAAGTGAGTTAGAATGGGAAGGACCTGCTGAACCATAAGAGTCACCAGGGAGAGAGTGCAGGAACAGAGCTTGGGATCAGCTCTAAGCAAATCGGCATTTTAAGGACAGACGGGAAGCCGAGAAAATGAGAGGTGGGGCAGCCGGAACACAGAGGTGGCTCCCAAAGCCGAGGAGGAGAGAGGCTCAGCCCCTGTACTTGCACTGAGAGGCGGAGAAGAATGTCACATGGCTGCAGCCACACGCAGGTCCCTGGAGAGCTCGGGTGGCATCACTGCAGTGGAGCAGTGGGGACAGGAGTGCAGACCCGGGCAGGGTGACGGGAAACAGGAACTGAGCTCATACAGACGGTGTGCGCACGAAGCTTCTGAGAAACCAGATGGGAAAGCCTGACCCAGGAGTGAGGCAGCGTGGGGCAGAGTTGGAACAGGAAGCCTGGGTCTAAGAGCTGGTGACACACTGTGACAAGGGGATACGGGACCCTCACACCCTGCAAGCACCCATGGTTCCTGACTCCCAAATCTCTAATCCTGAGAGTAGGCGTCTAGTAAGCTATCCAAACTCAACTTTTACTTAACAATGACAAGGAAACTCGTAAGACGGAGTGACCTCTGTGAACGGAAACTTGCATGTGTAATCTCTGTTTACTTGTAATTCTCTGTGAATACCAATAACAAGCAAACTAGACCATGTTCTGTGGTTATCGTGTTTAAAATATTAACCAGTACATTTGTCAGTGGTGGTTTTTATTCGCGGTTACACTTTTGCGCATACTTTAACCAGTTACTTTTTAAGGCTAGGCTGTCTAAATACTGCTACTAACGATCTGAATTTTAATGTTAAAAAAAGATTAAGCTAAAGGGACACAGAAACTTTCCTTCTGGAAGAAAGACAATGACCCTGTAAACATGAAAATTTATTAAAGTGCATTTTGTGTTTGTATAAACTGTCTGTTGTGATATTTAACCTCTTTTCTTTGATAAATTCTTTATGGTTCATGCACATGTTTTCCATAGACATCAGGGATTTTAAGAAACATATTAATAAATATTAAAAGCAAAATAAGTCAAAAGAGAAATAAGGATGTTACACAGAGCACTGTTCTCGACTTACTTTCTTGATTTCTTATGTCCAGAGTGACAATGTGTGGTCTCAAATTACACTTTTCAAAGTTGCTTTTGATAGGTTCAGGTTCACATCTGAGGGAGATAAACCTGGAGGAAATAAAAACTATCCTAGATTAAAATTATTATTAAAACAAATCTATGAGATAAACCTGGAGGAACATGAATTTCGGCCATCTAGATTTAGATGCTGTGTTAATGTGTGGAGCTGAGATTATTATGGGATAAAGTATAAGAGACGCAGACCGGGCAGAGGCTGAAACTCTTAGCTATGATTGATCACAGTAGGGGAGAGGAGACCACCATGTGCTGTTGTTACAGGGTAAGGGCGCTCGAGGACACCATTACCCACAAGAGACGTGACTCTCCCTTTCAGAAAACCATGCTAGGGTCAGTTCAGTGTGAAGCCTGGGTTACTACCAGACATGCACCACAATGCGCAAGCGAAGCGTGAGGGGAATTCAGACACCGTGATTATACATTAGGTAGATCCCAGCATGGAGTATCACAGACAGATTCCCCCCCCCCCCTCAAAAGCTCGGTTTGTGAAGTTAACTTCCGGCAGCAGCTGGATGGAGGCAGGGTTCCCTGGAAGCTTGCAGAGGGCCCCGCAGAGGCTGGAGTGTGAGTCAGCAGATGCGGGCAGCATCTGTCCTCAGCATGGCCAAACACTGTCCAGCCAGCCAGGTCCTGGCAGGGAAGGACATGCTCTCCCTGCCCTCCAACCTCAGAGCTCCAGGCTCTCAGGCCTTTGGGCTCTAGGACTTGTACCAGTGGCTCACCGGGCTCTGGGGACTGTGGCCTTGAGGCGAGGGCAGCGTCCTTAACTCGGAGCCTTGATAACCTGCAGCAGTCTTTCCTGGACTCCTCTGCGTCCAAAGCCACATGAACCATGAACCAATTCCCCTACAAATCCCCGCTCTCCTTGCTGTGCTGTGTCTTTGGAAAACCATGACTAATGCAACTGGCTACTGGTGGTGTGTTGTTATGACCTCGGCACATTACCCATCTGACGTGAAAAGAAAAAAAAAAGAAAGCTTAGTGACATGGAGTGGAACTCCGGAGCAACTGCAGCCACTCTGTCCTCTGCTGCTGAACCCAGCTAAATCGTATGGTATCATCAAATCGAAACTTCGTGATTGTGCTAAAAACAACTTTGCTACTGCAACTCTGCTCACCAGCAGACACCCATTGTGGCAAAACCTTCCGCAAAAGCTCATCCCCTTCCGGTAGCTTCTGTTTGCCACATGTAATCAACATCGCCGTCTTTGGAGACTTCTCTGCTGGGGTTGGCTAGAAGCCATAAAATTTTCTTTCTTCTCCTGAGTACTGCCTGCATACTGTGGATTCCATTTTCCCCCAATATTATTGTGTAATTAATGATATTTCTGATGTCTGTCTAGATGCTGGAGCAACCCAAGAGTCGGTCTTCAAACTTCGCTCATCCTTGATAGCTATCACCTGACCCCAGGCCCTTAACTGTTATCTACAGGCTGACCAATGTGCCCAGCATGGCCCGTATGTCTAGGGTTAGGCGTCTCCAACTAAACATACTCAAAAAGAAATGCTCACCATCACCCTCTTCTCTGTTCCTCACCTGGCTTCTCCATCTGCGTTTAGCCAGAGGCTTCAACTGTGAAGTTTTAAGAGATCTTTGGTTCCTCTTTCCTCGTTTTCGATCTGTCAGCAAAGCTCACTGGGTCTTTGCCTTCAAATGTGTTCTGGATGCTACCACTCCCGTGCCCGCTGCCTTCACTCTCCCCTTCCATCTGATGCCCATTGCCAGCCTTCTCCAGGCTTCTGCGGTCACTCCTGCCTTCGATATTCCACTGATACTTGTGAACCGTGAATTAGATTCGAGGCTGGGAAGACTCTTCCCTCCCTTTCTCATTGGGATTTGAAGAGGAGCTTCCTGCAGTTCTCTCCCCGGACCCCTCTCTCCTTGCCCCCGTTTGGGGAACACAGTGAATTTCTAGCTGTTTGAAGGGAGCTCAGGCTCCCCGCAGGGCTTCAGCAGCTGCTCTTCCTCTGCCTGTAGTATTCCACCCTGAGATGGGGACGCGACTTATTCCTTTATTTCCTCAGTTTCCTCTTTCTCTTCAGCAAGATCTTTTCTCCCTTATCCATAAAAAAACCCAATCTTAATTTCCTTAATTTATGTTTTTCTTTATGGAATTTTTCAGCAGTGGGTTTAGATGTGCTCCTTTTTGTACTTAGTTTCCTGTCTCCCCAGCTTATAGCAGGCCAGGAACTCTGAGGGTGGGGTGTTTGTCTGTCTGTTACTGCTGTATTCTAAGCACCTAGACTAGTGCCTGGCACGGGTGCATGTGGCCTGGTTTTCCTAAAATGTGTCCCGTTGAGTCACAGTGCAGTTGGTATGTATTTTATGTAGCGTTGGATTCAGTGTGAATCACCTTTCTGCTACTGTAACAGACACCCGAGCTAAATCAGCTTCAAGGAAGAAAAGGCTGATTTTGGCACAGACTTATGGAAATTTCAGCTCACGGCCTGAAGGGGGTGCTGCTGGAAACATAGGGTGAGGGAAGCCCTCACCTGTGTGGCTGGGAGCAAAGAGAGGGAGAGAGGAAGCGCAAACTCCTCCCACCCCCTTTCAGGCCACACCCCCGATGACCTAAGGATTCCCAATAGGCTCCAACTCTTAAAGGAACCACCACCTCTCACTAGCACAATGGGCTGAGAACGAAGCCTTTGACCGCAGACCTGGGAAACACTTATCCAAACTAAAGCAATTCCATTTTGGTAATGCACTCAGTTGCTGAGTGGCACACTTTTTCCATCACATTAGATTTAGTGACCAGATGACTTTTCTTTTTCACCTTACAGCTGAAGAAAAAGGTGTAATAAATATCCTGTATTCTACAGAGATTCACCAGTAGAACGGCGCCAGGCATTCTTCTGTGTCTCCAAATAGCAGGAAATTACTACACAGCAAAAAGTAAAGTATCAGAATTAAATCACTGGCTTATTACGGTCATCTCTGCCTGTTTCTTCTTAGTGTGAAGGGGGCAGAGATTCCTCCCCACAATGCTCACAGGATTCCCAAAGAATCCCAAAGACGGATCTGCTCACTCCCTCCTCACTGCACATCTGGGGTGCACTGACTGATTGGTCACATGTGTAGTTATCTAAAAAGGATTTGGAGAAGATGGCATGACAGTATGGGGCAGGTCACACCACACATTACTGTCTGGCACAACAAATATCCTGAGTGGCAGGGTTGCTACGGACAGGTGTTTGTGTCCCCCGAAATTTATATGTTTAAGCCTAAAGGCCATCACATTTGGAGGTGGGGCCTTAGAGCTGCAATTGTTACCAGACTGGACCCTCTGGAATGCAATTAGTGTGCTCTCTCTCTCTTTTTTGGTTTTGTTTTGTTTTTTTGATTTTTGGAACTGGGGATCAAACTCACTACCTCATATTTGCCAATCAGGTGCTTGTGCCACTGAGCTGTATCCCCAGCCTTTTTTTTTTTTTTTTTTTTTTTGGTCTTTCTGAGACAGGGTCTCTCTATGCAGTTCAGCTTGGATTTGAGCTCACTTTGTAGCTCAGGCTGGTCTTGAACTCCATACAATCCTCCTTCCTCAGCCTCCCAAGTGCTGGGATTGCAGGGGTGCACCACCACGCCTGGCACAAGAGACGAGTGAGAAGTGACTCCTTCTATCTCCCCCTCCTCTTTCTATCTCTCCCCAACCTCTCTTTCTCTCTGTCTCTCTCTCTCTCTCTCTCTCTCTCTCTCTCTCTCTCTCTCTCTCTCATTTGTCTCCCCCTCCCTCTCCATCTTCCCTACCTTCCCACTACAAAAGGAAGCAAGAAGAGGACAGCCACCTGCAAGTTAGGAAGAGGAGCCTCCTCAAGCACCGTCTGCTGGCACCTTAATCTCTGACTTCCAGTTCCCCGAGCTGTGAGAGTGACAGCCCATGGTCTCAGCCCCTAGGCGATGCTATGTGGCAAAGCATCCTGGGGACAGACAGACACCCGTTCTGAGACCTGTGGTGCTGTGACCTCAGCGTCGGGGCTGGGGGACAGGCAAAGGCAGGAGGAGCTCTGCTGCACAAACCAGGGGAGCCGGGCTGCCTAAGGTCACCGGCACCCAGGCCTGGAGCGCACTGTCTCAGCCTCCCTCACCCTGGAGAACAGAAGCTGAATCCCACAGTGACTCATAGCTCTGCTCCCATGAGGTCCAAGAAACCAACGTGTTGGGAGCCGCAGCCCCGAGCCCGGTCGCCTCACTTGGCGGACGTGAGGCCTGTAGTAAAGAGCAAAGCCTGAGGTAGATTACCCCTCCCATCGAATATGTTAGTTTCCTGCTTACCGCGTAAACAACCCGCTCAACAATATAGTCTGCCTGGCAACTGATGATGTTAGCCAATCAGCTTGCCTTGCTTACTTTAACATGATTGGACACTGTACCCGTATATATACCGGTGCCACCCCTGGGCGGAAGAAGAAGCCAGGTAGAAGCCCGGAAGTAGAAGCCCAGAAGGAGCCGCGGAGAGCGGACCGGTAGAGGCTTCGGAGCGAAGCCCGGAAGGAGCCGCGGGGAGCGGACCAGAGGAGGCTTCGGCTGGGAGCGATCCCAGGGCAGGCTGTACGGAGAAGGAAAATAAAAAGAAAAGGTTGTCCACTACCAGACTTTGTCGTGTGTCCTTCCTGCCGGCCGGGAGCGGACATCGACATTTGGTGGCCCGTACGGGGACTGATCACCCCCGAGACGTGACAGCGGACAACGCTCCAGTACAGAGCTGCGAGACAGGTGAGTTGGGGATAAGCCTGGGCTCTGGGTGGCGCGCACCTACAGGGCTTTTAGACTCCCCTCAGGCTCACGCGTAAGTGGCGGATTCCTTGGGCCTCACGCGGTGAGTAACATATTAAAAGATGGGAAACATGTTAGGTAGCAACACTAAGAGCGAGGGTGGTTGTGGAGAAAGCTCTCAAGAGCTTACAAAAGTACGCAGGGTATCTGAGCAGGCCCAGTCAGGGAGCTCCCGAGAGGGGTCCGTCAAGGGGAACAAGGATGCTAAGGAGGAGGACGGGGCTCTAGCCTCGGAGTCGTCTGACTCCGAGGACGA